CCCTTCCCTGGAGCCCCTTCAGATACTCTGATTGCTATGAGGTCTCCACGCAATTTTTGGCCGAGTTTGATCCAAGCATTACCTTTGCCTGTCAGTCCCATGGAGCCTGTGATTTCTGATTCACTGATCCCACCTCTGCATTTCCCCACAGGTACTTTGCCAACGAGCCCTTTGCAGACTTCCACCGCGTGGAAGGAGTGAGGGGTGTCTACATTGCCACCCTGATCAACGGCTCCTTCAGCGAGGAGAACATGCGCTCGGTCATCACCTTCGACAAGGGAGGCACCTGGGAGCTGCTGCAGCCCCCAGCACAGACACACTATGGGGAGCAGATTGACTGTGAGGTACGTGGGGTGGGATGGGGTGAGTGTGGAGGAAATCCCCCCAGAAAAGGGGCAAAAGAACCCTTGGCACTTGAGGACATGATGGGTGCTGGTGGTGGTGGGCTGGTGGTTGGGCTTGGTGATCCAACCTTTTTGGATAAAAAAACCCCAAAACAAGGTCTTTTCCAACCTTCATGATTGTATTGATCCATTGAGCATTGTATGATTTGGAATGAATATTCATAATAGAGTTCTGTTGGACAAGGAGGTTGGGTCAGTGTGGAGGAAGTCACCCCAAAAAAGGGGCAAAAGAACCCTTGGCACTTGAGGACATGATGGGTGCTGGTGGTGGTGGGCTGGTGGTTGGGCTTGGTGATCCAACCTTTTTGGATAAAAAAACCCCAAAACAAGGTCTTTTCCAACCTTCATGATTGTATTGATCCATTGAGCATTGTATGATTTGGAATGAATATTCATAATAGAGTTCTGTTGGACAAGGAGGTTGGGTCAGTGTGGAGGAAGTCACCCCAGAAAAGGGGCAAAAGAACCCTTGGCACTTGAAGACATGATGGGTGGTGGGTTGGGCTTGGTGATCCAACCTTTCTGGATCAAAAAAAACAAGATCCAAGGTCTTTTCCAACCTTCATGATTGTATTAATGATCCATTGAGCATTGTATGATTTGGAATGAATACTCAGAATTCTGTTGGACAAGGAGGTTGGGCCAGATGTGACCCACTGTGGTCCCTTCCAACCTTACCATTCCAACCTTACCTGTGCTGTATGAAAAGATGCTCCAACAGCAATCCCACCCCCAAGGATCTCACCTTTCCAAGAGGAGAGCACCAGACTAGGCATGACAAGGACATGGGATGGAGTTGAATGCCACTGTGTGTTGCTTTCCCAGCTTTCCCAGGGCTGCTCTCTCCACCTGGCCCAGCGCCTGAGCCAGCTGCTGAATTTCCAGCTGCGTAGGATGCCCATTCTCTCCAAGGAGTCAGCACCAGGACTGATCATTGCAACAGGTACTGCTTCCCTTCCCTTGGCTCGGGGCACGTTGTTGTCAGGACATGAGGAACTTGGCAGCATCTAGTTTGTATAAGCAGGTCATAAAATGCCATTCAGTTGTGCATTTTGCTGTCCTCTCTCTGCTGCAGTCCCTGTACAGTAATTACAGTTTGACTGCAGCACGGTGACGTGAGAAACCTGCTCTGTTCCAATCCTCTTCCCTGATCCTCATGAAGGGCTTCTTGAGGATTTGGAAATTCCAGTTTGTCTTGCTCTTTTCCTGAAGAACACACACATTTTGTTTAATCGTGTTTACGGCCCTGGGTTTTTCCCCCATCTGCTTTTAGAACTTGTAATACTCTTAAAATATTTGCTTTTTTTTTCTAAAGGGATCGATTTGCAGTGTGCAAAATCAGCTCCTCAATCACAGATAAAAATAGTTTGGAGAGGTGTCTGGCTTCATTTTAAGCAATCACTTTGCATTCCTCAAGAGGAATGACTTCTCCCATTCTCCTAGGCTCCGTTGGCAAGAACATGGCAAGGAAAACCAATGTCTATATCTCGAGCAGTGCTGGAGCAAGGTGGAGAGAGGTAAGTCAGCTCAGCCAAGGTGCTGGTGGTGCAGCAGGCCAGCAGCAATGTAGACAAATGACATTAAAGATGACCTCCACATCTGATTCCAAGAGTTGGAAGGTGCTGAATGTCCCTTAAGACCAAGGCAAAAGGGATTTTAGATGAAGGACCAGGCGTGGGTTGGAGGTGAACCTCTTGGTGTAGGTGGTGGATTCAAACACAGAAGAGCTCCCTCCTCTTGTTCTCTTTTTCACCTGGCAGGACCTGCCCTCAGCACAGGTCATCTGGCCTCTTTTAGATGGGCCTGGCAGCCAGGACTTTCTATGTGGGAGTGTCTGGAGAGGCTCTGGCATCTTCCAGAAACGTGGGATGTTGCCCTTGGTTTATGGGGAGTTTGATGCTGTTTACTGAGTGGAAGTTCTGGTCTGTGGCTGTGTTTGTGGTCTGGCTGTGCACTCTGCAGCCAGTGTAATGTGGTATTTCAACATCTGCAAGCTATTTAATCCTGGGAATTGAGCAGCCTTCTCCTCCTCCTGTAAGTGCTGCGTGGTCTGGGTGAGGTCTGGGCAGTTGCAGTGGTGGTGGGGACACACCACAGGTCTGGCTGCTGCCAGAGTGACCATGGTGCAGAGGCTGGTCCTGGCTCTGAATTCCAGCTGGGGACCCTTGCAGCCAGGCAGGAGCTCATGGCTGAGGCTGGGTATGCAAAAATCCAGACTTTGAGGTACCAACCTCCCCTGGCTCACAGGCAGGTTTGACTTGAAGTGCAGTTCAAACACGCCGAGCAAGTGTTGACCCATGGTTAAACAGCACGAAGCTCCTGACTGCTCTGGGCTCTTTGTATCCTGAGCAGAGGTGCAGAATGACCCAGCCCTGGAGTTCCTCAGCTGAGAAGCAACAGCACAACTCCCTCCTCAGCTTTGGCAAGCAGCAGAGTGGAAGGCTCATTGCTCTCCAGGTCACTGGTGTGATTTCACAGCACTGAGAAGAAAGAAAGACATTCAGTGCCCTGTGTAAGAACATCCCCAAGCACAACAGCATGTCCTGTGAGCAGAGTCAGGCACGTACATGCTCCCTGTTTTCATCCTGAGCTGCACTGGCCTCCCTGGATAGGAAAGCAAAGGTGATTTTGTGGTGGAGGTGGAGGTGAGCATGAAGTTTCTTCCCATGGGATGGATGTATGAATTGTCTCCAGGGCTTGTTTCTGTATGCCACAGTCCCACTTCTTGTTGAGCATTCAGAAAACCTTACACAGCCCAAGAACCAACACTTCTCTGCAGTCCTGGGAAGGTGACAAGTCCCTGCTGAGTGTCAGGAAAGCTTCACAGACATGACAGATGAGAGGGGGAGAGTGATGGACTCTGGTTTCATGTCACAGCATTTTCCACGGATTCATTCCCTGCACACAGCTGGGAGGAACAGAGTCCAGGGCTCAGTGCAGGCCTTACACACAGCTATACATTTAGGGAAGCTGTGCTGGCTGCTCTCATCTGCAGATGTTGTCCCATAAACACTTGAATCTCTGGTGCCTTCAGATCCTTGGCTCAGCCCCGGCAATCTGAAACATGAGCTCAGGTCAGGCAGCATTTCTGACAAAGCAAACTTTCCAGCCATTTTCCCCTCAATTCAGCACAGTTCTGATCATCCCTCAGCACTGTTTCTCTTCCAGGCACTGTCTGGGCCCCACTACTACACCTGGGGTGACCATGGTGGGATCCTTGTGGCCATCGCACAGGGCACCGAGACCGACCAGCTCAAGTAAGGGTCAGGGCACAGGGATTGCTCCTGGTGTTCAAGCTGGGGATGGGAGAGAGTACCCTGCAGCAGGCAGGACATGCCCCTGGCACCTCTTCCAACCTTCCTTCTGCAGGTACAGCACAAATGAAGGGGAGACCTGGAAGGTCTTCACGTTCTCGGAGAAGCCGGTGTTTGTGTACGGCCTCCTGACCGAGCCCGGGGAGAAAAGCACCATCTTCACCATCTTTGGCTCCTACAAAGAGAATGGGCACAGCTGGCTGATCCTGCAGATCAACACCACTGACGTGCTGGGTAAGGGGACAGAGCCAGCACTGATGCTGACTGTGCAGGAGGGAGACAGGACATCACCTGCAGAGGCTGTGGTACCACCATCCGTGTTTGGGTGCTCATGTCTTGAGTCCACAGCTGCTGAAGGCACTCGTGTTCCCTGTGCTCTTCTCGTATCCCTTCTCTCCTCACTGAGAAATATGCTGAAAAGGAAAAAAAAAAAACCCAAAAAACCTTCTGAAAGCTTGTGCCTATGAATGTTTTATAACCCATTTCAGCTTTGATTGCGAGGCAGCATTTTAATCAAAGCGCAGTTAAACCCAGCAAGAGGAATTTACTTGACTAAAATTTATAACTGATTCCCTTGACATTTTGTGAGGAACAGATCTGTTTGGTAACCAGAACGACTTCATTTAAATGAGGCATCTCAGATTCACTGTCACCACCACAGAGCTGCTGGTTGCTGCCTGGCACCGCACGCTCCGAGCCGCGATGCTTTTTGCTTTGCCTTTTCCTTTGGGATGGAGCTAGAGCTTTGCAGTTTGGGGGAGCTGCTTGTTGAGGGGCAGAGGAAGGGGACAATGGGCATGGCTGGTGTATACCTGGGTGCCAGCACACCTGCCCTCACTCCAAGCATCCTTGGGTACCATGTTCTGCCCATTGTGCTGGGACCAAGGGGCATCTGCATCTCTCTTGCCTTTCAAACTAAGTCTAGGGTGCTGCAAGGGCTGTACCTTTCTGTTCCCCAACCTTGTTGCTTCCTTTAGGGGTCCCTTGCACAGAGAATGACTACAAGCTGTGGTCACCCTCCGATGAGAGAGGCAACGAGTGCTTACTGGGGCATAAAACTGTTTTCAAAAGGAGAACTCCTCACGCGACCTGTTTCAATGGAGAAGATTTTGACAGGCCTGTCATGGTCTCCAACTGCTCTTGCACAAGGGAAGACTTTGAATGGTAAATGGCAATTGATTTCTTTCAGTCTGGATTGTAAGTCTGAGATAAATATCTGTGACCAATCGCTCAAAGTGAACCAACATCCAATTTATGTAGTTCCGAGTATCACTTATAGCAAAGAGAGAACTAAGCAGCCTGAAAACATCCTTTCATTAATAACAAGGCATGAGACTTAATTAATGCCTGTAGAGCCTTTTGGGAGGCTCTGAAAGGTTCCATGGAAAAGGAAAGTACTGTTAATCCATCACCTTCTTGAAATGACGGTGGACAATTCCCCATCACATATAAAGATCCTCCACTGAAAAGCTTCAGGACCCTTTAGCCACAGGGATGCAGATGGCTCTGCTATATCACTTTGCCTGCAGCTCTCAGGATTAGGAAACACACTCTGGTAATCCTTTGCAAAGGTTTGAGGTAAGAAAGTGAACTCCTTTTCAGGGACTGAGCTTTCATATCCTTTGCAAAGGTTTGAGGTAAGAAAATGAACTCCTTTTCAGGGACTGAGATTTCAGTGGAGCTCACACCAGGCTGCTCAATGCCAAGACAGAGTCTGAGTCTGGCTCACCATGAGCAGACTGAGAATAGAGCTGGTGGAATCCAATTCCTGCCCAGGACTCCCTGCAAAATCAGATTGACATAACCTCTTCCACAGTGTTTTCCAAAGAACAGCCACACTCTAACTCCCATTTTACCAGCAGGACAAGCCAAGAGACAGAGTGGTGACCTAAGCCAGCTAGCAGGAGAACAGGGGCTTGCAGCCAGATTTTCAGAGCACACTGGCTCAGCTCTGCCTTGCTGCCTCACCTCCTCCAGCCTGCTCAGCCACTGGCAAGCTTATTTGCAAAATGTTCTTGAAATGTCCTGTTTGGCTCTAAGATCTTACGTGCAGCTAAATACTGATAACAAATAAATGGTCTACCAAGACACTTTGGGTCCCTAAAACTTCTGTGTGAAAATAGAGCAGAGTAATAGTATAGCATGGCAGCATTTTTCCCTTCTCCCTGTCCCTTCTTACATCTTTCTTCTCCTTGCAGTGACTTTGGCTTTAAACTGAGTGATGATTTATCATTAGAAGTTTGTGTCCCTGACCCTGAATTTGCTGGGAAACCTTACGACCCTCCAGTCCCTTGTCCTGTTGGCTCGACCTACAAGAAGACTCGAGGGTATGTGTATGTTGTTGAGGGCAACCTCATCTTCCAAATGCTGGGCTTGATCCCACTGGTGATTAAAAAACACCCAAAACCCAACCAACCACAAACCCCACACACAAACACCCCGTGAGTGGCAATAAACAAACAGCATGTTTGGGTATAGATTGCAATGAAACACCAGTGCTTATTCTGGCTGCACAGGGTGGTGTGTTAACTGTTTCCATGCAATAAACTGCCTGGCTCTGTGTGTGCTGCAGCTACAGAAAGATCTCTGGGGACACTTGTACGGGTGGAGACATCGAGTCGCGGCTCGAAGGAGAACTGGTGCCGTGCCCACTAGCTGGTGAGTACTGACAGGATTGCTCCAGGCACAAGGGCTTCATTCATAAACCCTTTGGCTGGTGCCTGAGGGACCATGCACAAAATCCCAGAGGGCCCTCAGACAAAACCAGGAGCTTTGGTGGATTACAAATCATCCTCTCCTGTCCTATCCAGAGCTTCCGTCAGGCTGTGGTGCAGAGCTCTCTCTTCTCCCTCAGAGCAGGCTGTGGGCAGAACACTTTTATCCTGGTCATGTCCTTCCTCTAGCTGGATCAAACCCAACCAGAAAGACAGGAATTAGATCAAAGACTCCTCCATCCTACCCTTGGGAAGGTACCACCCTGAGACAGCCACGTAGCTGAATGAAAGCTATTTGGGGCCAGAGCAGGGCAGATGCTGCTCTTCAGTCCTCACTCCTGTGCCTGCCAGGCTTCACCCCCGTCCTTATTTTCTCCTCTAAAACATATGAGGCGCTGAAACAGTCTCCTGCCCCTGTGCTGCCAAAGTTATTTGCATTCTGCTCATTACAGCTTTAATTTAATCTGCCGTCACGAGCTGCGTGATCAGCATGCTGCTGTGCTGCAGCTCCACAGCCCGAGGCAGCCCAGGGGCTCGTGTAAGGGCTGGGGCAGCTCAGCAGAGCAGCCTGAGGTTTCCTTGCACCATCCTAAGATTTTTTTTTTCAGGGTGCAAAAGCTATTGCAGGTGCAAACCAGCCTGGGGAAGTGTTGGCTCTGCTGGGATTCCGTGTTTAGTTTTACTCCTCGTTCAGAGCCTGACACCTTAGTCACCCCTCTGAGCCCTCTCAGGCTATTTGGAGAGCTGTGCTGGTCATGCTGAGAAGGGCTGCAAACCAAACCTGCCATCCCCACCGGGTTGGCCTTTGAAGTGCTGTGTTCCCAGAGTATTTGCTGATCGTCTTCAGATACGTGTTGGCTCGCACCATGGTAACACTTTCATGTACAGTATCTGTTTCATATCTCCGTATAATCTCATTAGGGATGCACAGCCAGAGTTACTTACTGACATTAGCTTTACTCATTAATAGCATTATTGGACTTGACCAGTAGTGTGCTAATACCCCAGAGACTTTGTCCCGGACCAGGATCCCATTATGCTGCGTTGGGCACAATTCAGAAACAAAACCCACTCTGGGATATTTCCTGCCATGCCAGTGTCCCCTAGGACTTGCAGATTTACATCACTCCCACCTTTTTTCATGAGATTTCGGAGGGAGAAATCAGTATTTTGTTTCGAATTGGCAGCACACTAAGGTGGGAGGGAAGGAGGTCGAGGCACTTTTTGCCAGCCTTACCTCCTCCTCCTCCTCCTCCTCCTGGAGCAGACAATGACCACAGTGTGTTCCCAGCCCCACAGAAGGTTATTACCACGTCCTCATTAACCTAATCCCAGCGAGACAAAGGGGCTTTGCCTCCCTGAGGTGCTAAAACATGCAGCCAGGGGTAAGAAAATACCTGCTGTAGCCTAAAACGGTCACTCAATAAGGCTCTTTCTTGCAGAGGAGAACGAGTTCATTCTCTACGCCACTCGCTACTCCATCCACCGCTACGACCTCGCCTCTGGTGTCAGCGAGGAGCTGCCCCTGGCTGGGCTGAGAGGGGCAGTTGCCCTCGATTTTGACTATGAACACAACTGCCTGTACTGGGCTGATGTCACTCTGGACATCATTCAGGTGAGCTGGGCTGTGGGGAGGCTGCTGCAGGCTCAGCTGCCCAAGGAGACACCTCCTGGCATTGGGGTGTTTTGTGCACACCCTGAAATACAAATGTTTGTCTTGCTACTCCTCCCCTTCAAGCTGTGTGTTGTGGCTTGCCTCGCACACCTGACTGCTCTCACCTCGAGGCTGAGGAAGTTCCTCATCTCTCATGCTGATTATTGTTTCTTTTTCAGCGTCTTTGCCTCAACGGCAGCTCTGGGCAAGAAATAATCATAAGCACTGGGCTGGAAACGGTGGAAGCTTTGGCTTTTGAACCTCTCAGTCAGTTGCTGTACTGGGTCAATGCTGGGATTCCCAAAATTGAGGTACAGCTATGCCCACCCATCCTACAAAGACATGACTGTGGCAGTGCATATTTTTTTTTTTTAGGAAGTAATAATTTCCTGCCACAGATTTGATGGCACAGTTCTGGGCCCCTCAGCTCAGGAGGGACATTGAGGGGCTGGAGCAGGTCCAGGGAAGAGCAACGAGGCTGGTGAAGGGACTGGAGCACAAGTGCCATGAGGAGAGGCTGAGGGAGCTGGGGGTGTTCAGCCTGGAGAAGAGGAGGCTCAGGGGAGACCTTCTCACCCTCTGCAACTCCCTGACAGGAGGTTGGAGTCAGGTGGGGGTTGGTCTCTTCTCCCAGGCAACCAGCAGCAGGACAAGAGGGCACAGACTCAAGCTCTGCCAGGGGAGGGTTAGCTTGGATATTAGGAAGATGATTTTTACAGAGAGAGTGCTCAGGCATTGGAATGTGCTGCCCAGGGAGGTGGTGGATTCCCCATCCCTGGAGGTTTTCAAGCTGAGACTGGATGTGGCACTTAGTGCCATGGTCTGGTGACCACAGTAGGGTTGGACTTGATGATCTTGGAGGTCTTTTCCAACCAGGCTGATTGTATGATTTCCTGCAACTTTAAGCAGTGCCACTGTCAATAGTAAACACATCCTGGGTTTGGTTTTTTGGTCTAGGTGGCCAATCCAGACGGAGACCTGCGACTCACTGTCCACAACTCTTCCATACTTGAACGACCCAGAGCCCTCGCTCTGGTTCCTCGAGAGGGGTAAGAAAATCATTCCAAGTAGTTGGGTATTTCCTGAGGAAACCATGCTGATCCTTCACCAAGGGGCAAACACAAGGAGAGGGATGCATGGACACCTCTCTAAGGTGAAACAGTAGCACAGACACAGCACAGTGGGTGCAGCTCACACTCCTTGCCCCGTGGAGTCCACTCTCAACATCACGTACCCCACTGTGGCACCAACCACCTCACAGCAGAGACCACAAACTGTTTATCCTTTCCTACCCTACAAGTAAATAACATTTCCTGCCAGTAAAACTGGTCTGGTCAGTGGGGAAAGCTGCAGTGATGCGTGAGAAACTGAGCTGTGCTCAAATTCAACACCCAAACACAAGTTACATCTCTCTGAGAGAGGGTTTGCCGTGGCTGCAAACGTAGTGCTGAGCTGTCTTTAGGATCTGTGCTAAAACAAAGCAGTTCATGGCAAGGTAACCTGCAGCTGCACTCACAGCACAGAGCTTGCAGCTAAATAAGCCTCGTGGAGCTGCTGGTGGTGCTGATTAGAATTGCAGAGCTCCCTTCTCAAAGGCAAGTCGTGCCAGAGACGTGGAATGTAAAGCATCCAAAGCTCTGCTTCACAACCTGCTCCCTTTGGGTGAGCTCTTCTGTCATGACTCCCCAGTAACCTCTCTGCCTGTTGCCAGGTTGATGTTCTGGACAGACTGGGGAGACTCCAGAGCTGGAATTTACAGGAGTGACATGGATGGGTCTCTGGCTGGGTGTATTGTCTCCGAGGGCGTGCGGTGGCCAAACGGCATCTCTGTGGATGATCACTGGATCTACTGGACTGAAGCCTATATGGACAGGATTGAGAGGGTTGACTTCAATGGGATGCAAAGATCTGTGATCCTGGACAGCCTCCCTCACCCTTATGCTATTGCTGTGTTTAAGGTTTGTTTTCCTGTTGGTGTGTGTTTCCAGAGCAGGCTCTGAGGTTGGTGGTGGTAGAGCACACAGAATTTGTGGAGGGTAGGGATGTGATTTGGAGCTCTCTTTCTGCTCCTGGCACATTCCCACAAATCCCTGAAACGAGCAGGCAGGTGCAGTTAAAACTGGGACCAAGAGATGTGCAGCATTCCCACACAGTTT